GTCTGATTGAATGGCTGATCGAATGACATAATTTGACATTTTAAATGGTAGTCGAATTGAATATCGAATGTCATGTCAAATGTCATGTCAAATGTCATGTCGAATGGCATGTCGAATAATATGAATTGACATGTTGAATGGCAGTTGAATGTTGCCATTCAACATGTCGAATTTTTTAAAATTTACCAGTGAGATGCAATATATTAGAAAAAAGTATTTGACGATAGTTTTTATAAAAAAAGTTTAAAGTACATATTTACGCACTGACTAATACAAGACATTTATGTTTACAAGAAATTGTTTTTAAAGAAATCAAAAAAAAGAAAGTGTAATGTCTCGTTAAAAATTTCACGTAAAAAAAAAAAAAATTACAAATACAACAACACACCTCTTCATCTGAAACTGATTCCGATAGTACATGAACCGTCATTTTTTTCAAATTTAACACAGTTAAAATTATAATTAATATATCTTCATTGATAACTGTAAGAAGACAAATCAACGTCATCGGATGCTGCAATTGGAGAATTGCAAATAAGCAGTAAGTTATCACAAAGATAATTATCCAAAAGTTTAAGTAAGGTTAATTAATGCTTTTAAATTAATTCCACAAGAACCACAAATGAAATTGAAAAAAATAAGGCATACCACTTAAATAACTTTGAAATTGTCCAAAAAAATCAATTTATAGTGTATGGTGATAAACTTTTTTCTAAGAGCAGATGGCATCAATATGATTAATTTTGGCGATGACGCAGTGGTTTCGTCAGACGAAACTTTGACGACGATTGATGCAACTATTGACGCAAGTTCGGCCTTATGCAACAACAAATAAGCTCTGTGCGAATGGGTTTTTATTAATTTTTATATAGAAATTAATTTAATTTCTATATGAAAATTAATAAAAACCTATTCGCGCAGAGCTTATTTTGAAGGTATATTATAAATTTTAATTTTAAAATTAAAAAAGTAATTTCTCAACAACTACCTTGTCAAATTGGCTCAAATTTTTTGTCATAGCTATAAAAATACTTGAATTTTAACATACTAAGTTTTTAAAATTTTTAATTTTGATTCTGATTTTTTATTAATTTTTGATTATTTTCAATTATTTTTCTCTATTTTTTAAAAAAAATTTCAACAAAAAGTTGTCTCTCATCTAACTTTTGTTATTGTAATTAAAAAAATATAAAAAAAATTTACTGATCTAGATTTTTATAATACAACTTACTATAAAAGTTTCAAAGCTATAGCTTTCAAATTTAAAAAGTTAAGAGGGGTGGGATACTTATGACTGTGACTGTATTTGCTTTTTAGTAACAAAAAATACAGAATAAGAAAGGACTATAAAAAAATATTACCCATTTTTTTATTGTATAATAAAATTTAAATTTATAGTTTTTAGATTAATTTATAGATTAATTTATTAGGCTTAAATTTATATTTTCTTTTCATTGTTAAAAATACACTTGAACAATTTATTCAAAATAGATGTGACAAAATACCAATGGACAAACCTTTTATCAACTAAGTAGATGTAGTCTCTAGTAATTTAGCTTATTAAATTTTTTGCTCAGCATGATTTATCAGCGACATATTTTATATATAAAAAAATATAAAATCGGCGTCCTGTAACTTTTTTTAGATACTCAGGTTGTAATTTTCTTTTTTTTTACATTACATATAGAAACCGTATTTTTTTTCTAATTTACTTTCTCTATACTATTCGCTCAGACAGTTTGGATAAATTAAGCTAGCTGGTAATTTTTTTTTTAATTAAAGATAAAATTTGGTACTATATCTTGCTTTGTATAGGCCTTCTATCGACTTGTTGCAATATCTGAATATTGTACAATCAATACGACATTGTGAAATTAATACTTTATGTAAAATTCTTTCTTTTATATAGTGAATTACGTTGTTGATACAGTAATTAATACGAGCCGATTGGAGTATATGATAATATTTATGTGATAGTTAGAAAGGCTTGTTCGAAAATACAGTATAATGAATGTTGAGTATAAAAATGAAATACGTATAAAGTCGGAACTAAAATAAGTCGTGAGTTTCGAAATTTGCAACAAGCGAAAATGGTTTGGGATATTTTAGACAAAGTACTGTATATTGCATTTGATTTTGGATGAACGTCATTACTATGATAATATTGTCGCGATCCTATTGAAAAATTTTCATTTATTTAAATTATTTTAAACTTTCTATTTTTATTTTATTTTTTGATTAATATATTTGAAATTTTATAGTTAAATACGGCGCAGTATTACTATTAGTTTATATAAAGGTGGAATCTCGAAAGTTACTGACATTAAAAAAATCATATAGTAAAAACTTAAAAAATATCTTTATCTTGTGATAATATTTTAATGTTCCTGGGCTCAAAATTATGTATAATGCGGGCCAAAATTTTGTCGATTACGGCCAGATCGAGTCTAGGTATTACAAATACTAAAATGACATAATTCGTGTTAAGTGACCATGCAAGGAATTTTTTATTTTATTCTATTATTACATACAAATCAATATTCGACAGATATAATAATTTCTTTCTTGCAGTATATCTATAAAAATATATTTGGGTCACGATTAGGTTGAATAAGTCTGTTGATAGTCAATCACCCTACAGATTGGATTGTGTAACTTTGATTTTTAATCTTATCGTATATCGATCTACAACCTTTTTCTAGCTATTATTCATGCTTAAGACTTGTTTAGAAAAAAGGGATAAGTGATATAGTTAAGTATGTAATAGTTTTTTAATTTTTTAAAAATGTCTCCCATTAACTTTGGTGTTGCTCAAAAAAGTGAGATGGAATTTGAATATATTGAGGAAAGAAGTAGAAAAAGGTCACCGCGTAAGAATAGCAAAGGTTTTGAAGATAGAATTAGAATTATTTTTATGAACATGAATATAGAATTACATAGATTTGAGTGAGTATTCACTGAGTCATTGTCTAGTTGTTATGTAGCTGAAGTTGCGCTGCCACTAGATGTAAATTATAAGAATGAAAGCTCATCGTGGATATAATTATGTGGTCAACATGGTTATGAACGTTCTTCTCATGTTATCGAAAAGTCATTTATGGAGTTTCTCTAGAGCTGTGGTGAATAGGATACATGGATCGAGAATTGAAAGCTCTTCGTGGCCTAATCAAATATGATTGTGAACGTTCTTCTTGATTCTTGATGATAATGAAGATAAATGCTCAATTTTTTTTATTTGTTATTCTGATAGACACACACCAGGCGATGGAGGTATTGATTGGATAGGAGGCTGGAGAGGATATACAATAATCATTCAATGCAAGGTATAGCAAGTGATATAGTAATGATAATTAATCAATTTTTTTTATAATTAGCGATAGTAATGATCATTAATCAATTTTTTTTTTTT